CATAGCATTATTCTATGTGTACTCGACACGCATTTAGTTAAAACCTTAGCTTTAACTATGTATCTGGTTTCGAAATCAACATGCTTATCTGTGTGTCATGCATAACTTGAGTTGATTTTTTCTATATTTACGGATTTTGTAATGATAGATCTAGGTAATTTAGATTTATGGTTTACATTATGTTGTTTCTAATAGTAGAGGTGGTACATGCATATTTAGGGATTATTTTGTATATTGGCTGGTACTTTAGATTAAGATTAATGCTCACTTTAAGTTTTTTACATAATAATGGCAGGTAGGTAATTTAGTTAGACCATTTTATAATGATAGGTGTGGGGTAATGTTTTAGAAGATGGAACAAACGTAATAGCTATTATTGTTAATAATGACGATTAGATCGAGTATGCCGAATGACCGAATAGATGGCTGGATATATATTTCCGGTTGTCGTATGAATTTTTAAGATTTACTTTTTATTATCCTATAAAATTAACGCATGTAATCTGCTATTAGCAGTAATACATATAGAGTTAGTAATATAAATGGTCCACCTCTTGCTGATAGATTTTATTGTATACGTAGGTACCAGATCATCCTTGGCTTGGGATCCGCGCTACGGTATCTCCATCAGGAGTGGGAGCAGTGCGTGGTGCACGGCGACATCAAGCCCAGCAACATCATGCTGGATGAGTCCCTCGGCACCAGGCTCGGCGACTTTGGCCTGTCTAGGCTCGGCGACCACGGCGCGCGGTGGCACACCACCCGGGCCGTGATGGGCACCGCGGGGTACATCGACCCAGAGTTCGTCAACACGCACCACCCGAGCACCTACTCCGACGTCTACAGCTTCGGCATCGTCCTCCTCGAGATTGTCTCCGGCCGGTGCCCTGTGATCCTGCTGGAAGGCGGAGCGCACTTCATCCTGGTCAAGTGGATGTTGGGCCTGCATGGCCGGAATGCAATCCTCGACGCGGCGGACGAGCGACTGAGGTCCGGCGGCAACGAAGCCGATGACAGGTGCATGGAGAGGGTGCTCGTCGTCGGGCTGTGGTGCGCCCACCCTGACCCGAGCGAGCGCCCGTCGATCGCGCAGGCTATGCACGTCCTGCAGTCGGAGGACGCTAGGCTTCCGGCGCTCACGCCGCAGATGTACAGGACGGTGTCGGATTTTGCCGTCACTGGACGTGCTATCGGCGCCTTGTCCGTTCAGGGTTCCTCTTCCACGACCACGACAACCGCCGGCCACTCCAAGGTCTCTCCCGAGTCGGCGTCCTCGGCCTTGCTCCGGGATTCAAAAGAGTTGGCTTGATTTAATTTCATCACTGTTGTATGGGGTGCCTCTGGTCTATGGGCGGCTGTGTGTGTTTTATATTGACTGTAAAATTACTTTTTTCACATAATCACATTCATCACTGTTGTACTTCTTCACTTAAAAACAATCATCTGTTGTAGTTCTTCACTTAAAGCAATCATGTTTTTACATTCAACACAGAGTATCATTAAGGTGTTGTTTGGAAAGGCTTAAATTCTAGGAAAAGTCAGCTTTTCTCCAGCTACCAACAACAGCTGCTTGGAAGAGAAGTTTGAGCGAGGAGAAGCTTACCGTTTGGCACATCAGTTTTTCACTATTTTTCCTTACCTCCCTACGGAGGCTTCCATGGCTGGATCTCGGCAATGAGGGCGTGTTTGGATGGTGCCTGGCAGGCAGCTGCTGGTCCAGGCAGCGATCGTGACCTCAGATTGTGACCTCAGATTGGACCTTGAGCTGCTGGTCCTAGGATTGCTTGCCTATGCCCGGCAGGTTTTCAGTCTTGCAAGCAAACATGCCTTCAGATTGGACCTTGGGGTACAGTGGCTCTGAGAGCTTGGAGATGGAGAAGATGGCCGGTAGAGGAAGGCGCTTGCACCCAACGGATGCATGTCACATCCTAATTTTTTGTTTTGGGTTGAATAGAAATACACTAAATAAAATTAATGATTTAATTTTTTGGTAAAATTTTCAAGGTTTAGTTGATTTATTGTTAATTGAGTTAAATAAAAAATGCTATATAATTTCTAAACTGATTTTCCTAGCCTCCTAGCTAGGGGTGTTGCATCCACTACTTTGCATTAATTTTATTGTGTGAAAAATGAATTTTAAAAAGTCCATTTAAGCCCCGAATAGGTTTTCTATTTTCAAATTGTTTATTTAACAAAACTAGATGTTTCAAAATATTGTTTAAATAGTTTTCAAATTGTGTTCAAAAGTTTGAAAACTTAAATGGTTTAAAATAAGTTTATGAAAAAATTTAAAAACCCCTATTTCTGTTTGGTTTGAAACCCTTCAAAATCCAACTCAAGGCCCCATCCATTTTCCCTTATTTTCATTTTCTCTAATTTCCATCTGCGTGTACCCATTTTCCTTGCTGGCCGTCAGCCTAATACAACCTCTTGGCCAGCCCACTCCCACCTCCTCTCCCTATAACACCGACATGTAGGGACCACCGAACATCTTCCTCCTCCCAATGTTCCCCTTCCTCCCATGCTTGCAACCGAGCTCAAGCTCAAGCTCAAGCACGCCATGGCCGTCTTGGCCTTTCACTCCCACACATTCTTGATCATTCACTACCATGCATTAACCCCCAGCCTTAATTCACTCCTCTCTTCACACCCCTCCATTACTCCTCTACCCTGTTGTAAGGGCTGCCATTAACGATATTTACCGAAGCTCCATCACTGGCCAGTCCCGTCCCTTTCCTCTCCTATAAAATGCCTCTGATCTTCGCGTGCTCGAGCTGCAACTACCCCACATACTCTTTCCCTCTAAACCTTCGGAGTCATATTGCCACCACAAACCGCCATGGCACGGTCAAGCTTAAGGCTACACCTCCTTGCGTAAGCCACCTCTCACTCCACTTCAACCTTCGTTGATTCGCAAGGGAGAGATACATCCACAACATTACTCCTTGTCATGAATCCATGCCCGCAACACCATTTCCCAACCTTGCCGGAGTACCCTGCCACCTCCCATCCTCCCTCTTTGACGGTCGGCCACCTTCGGCTCACCGTGGTCATCCCATCTAACGCGCTAGGTGCTGAGGTGTTGATGATGGTGGTGGTCAATGATGTTGATCAAGGGCACCCTCTGCCTTCTTATATAGTCAGGAGATAGGATTACAAGGTAAGCTTGGTTTCCTAATTTGTTACAAAAAGATCTAGTCAGATCTTTACAATTCAGGGGACATGGACATGCTGATATCCCCTAAGTCGATCTACGCCTTGTCCATGAGATATCCTTGCCCGGTTAGGACTTCCGAGTTATCGGACTGGGCCACCACAGTTGGTGGGGTGTTTTCCTTCCCAATGATGATATAGGGGCATATTGTCAACATGTGGCCGTTCTCTCATCTTCAAGAAGTTTTGGTCTAGGCCTAAGAGCTTGTGGTGTTCTTTTAATATGAAGGTCTAGTTTGCAGGTTTAATTCTTTAGAGGAACCTTTGGTTGTAAGTCATGCTTTGTTTTTGCGGATGTTTGTCTATGGCTCTTCTTTTTGTCATGGGTGGTTGGTTGTTTCTCTGGTACGGGTTGTGTAAGCAATCTAATTAAGGTTTTTGCCCATTGTCATTGTTGCTATTTTTGCCGTTGTAAAACTCTTCCTCCTTCTCAATTTATACCGTGGTAAACACATTATTAAGAAATTAATAGTCCTATTTTAGAGCCCTAAAGGTCAAATTGGACTATACTGATTATTTTTCTTTTTCTTGGGAAAGCATATTTGTATTTATTCATCATTGAGTTAATCAATACTAAGCCACCCTAACTGACAAGTGTTTTTCTTTTCATCTACGAAGTCTTTTCTTAGTTCTCTCCTCTAATTTCGTATCTTTGTTGCCTAACTTGCGATAAATCATCGTTAGACCCAAGTGTCAAAGGTGGTAAGTCCCTGGCTTGCATCCAGAAAGACATGAATAATGAAGGATTGGGTGCAATGCTTTTTTGCGGAGCCTGGAATAAAATATATCTTTCTAAGAAAGTTCAAATAATTATCTATATTTTATTTTATTTTATTTGAAAAGCATCTTTTCATAAGCTTTGTGGAACAGCTAAGTCGCTGTCAAACAAAATCTGAACATAAGACGGCACACGAGCTTCATCGAAGCTCAGTGCCTGGTCACCACATACAGCTTCAATTTATTAACGTATGACATGATACATTAGTTGTTTTACGAAAACAGACACACAAACCATAGTTTGCAAAACCACACTTTATTTGACGACGTAGACCTTGGCTTTTTTGTTTTTGTAACACAACGTTAAGCCAAATTTGACACCGCCAGCGCGGCTGACATCATTGGGACAAAGAATCTAGCCGACGGAGCGTTAGGCCCATAGACAAACTCCGTCACGTAGCCCACGGCTATGTCCCTATTAAGGCCCATTCAATATTGCACCCCCACCACTAATAAGGCCGCCTTTGGAACCCCAGATTTTTGTTGTGTCACGTGTTTTCCCTATGAAAAATATACTGATTTTCCCCAAAAAAATACTGATTTATGTGAAACTCTTAAACAATTTTGAAATTCCTATTTCGAAGGGGCCTTAAAGTTCTTCTTTCCTCTTCTTTCCATCCTATAAACAGATTCTCTTATTTGTAATTTCGTCCGGGAATGAGAGCTACAACTTTGCCCTGGCGGTCACCGGCGAGCTAAGCCATGGACCTCACGGGGCCTCGCGGCGTCCTTATGAACCACCAAAATCCTAATAAGCACGGTTCCGCAAAGTCCATGGATAACATAAACCCTGCCGTGCCACTCGATGCTCATGTGTCTTAGATTGCTTGTTTCGTGTAACTATATATACAACAATAATGTATCTATACATAACATATAATGATATAACTAGATGTATAAGTAAAAACTATATATATCTTGATTTTTTTTACATTTCAGAATGGAGGGAGTCGTACTGTAAAATACACGCACTCGACCTTGATGAACAAGCGGAACCGGAACAGCGTCAACTAACTGTACCCAGCCGACATATGAGATGAGTTTATCTTCTTCTCATCGTCGCTAATGATAACCCTCTCTTGCAGCATCTTCTCCAGCCGGGCGTTCCATGCCACCTCCTCCTCGACCTCCTTCCTCAGGTCTTCCACCCTATGCTCCAGCTGTCGGACGTACCCTAGCAGTATCTCTTCCTTCTCCTCCTCACTTGGAAATGTCGAGTTCACGCCACAGGCATCGCCATTGCCGCCGTCGACGTCGACGTCATCGAAGCGGCCGACAGTGCTTTGCAACACATGCGTCACCATGTCCCTCTACATCTCCAGGCTCTCCAGGACGGCCATCAGCTGCCGAGTCACCACTTGCTGCTGCTCCTTAAGCCCTATCGCCTCCGCCGCGCCTTCCCGTGATCATGATCTTCATCGTGATCCCCATGCGGCCGCTGCGGCGACGGCCTTCTATCTCCATCCTCGGTGGAGGAGTCACTGTCGTCTAGCTCCACCTGGCTCTCGAACGGGACGCACCTCTTCTCCACCGCCGTGTCCTCGGTCGTCGGATCAAACTCCAAGTTGTCCTTGTTGAAGTTCCAGCCACTGATCCGTCGGTTCTTGACGACGACGACGTCGTCGGTGTGGTGGCGGCACGCAGCGTGCGCCGCCCCTGGCACCGACACACCCGCAGAGATCACTACCCGCGTTGTCGTCGTCCTTGCTGCACCGATCCTCGATGCTCGGGACGACGGCGAGGATGTTGCGGACTAGGAAGTGTTGGAACCGGTGGTGACCACCGAGTTCACGATCTTGGAGCTGGCTTATAGCCGGCCCGGCTCGTTACCACGAGCCTACGCTCCCACAGGTCCCAGGTCTACCAGAGCTACAACATATAAGGCCTTTGGGCCTTACTCAACCCAAAAGACTAGCCTTATAGGTGGGGGCTTCTTTCGCCTTATATGTTGTGCTCTTCCACCATCACTATATGATGTGGGACTAAACCCCAATAATCTCCAATTCCCCCTTAGTCACACATCGGGGTGCCCCCGCCATATGTGACCCTCGGGATTTTTTTATCGGGTTTAGTTTTTTTTTACCATGGGCTCTGATACCAATTGTTGGACCAGCTCTGATACCAATTGTTGGAACCGGTGGTGACCACCGAGTTCTCGATCATGGAGCTGGCTTGCAGCCGGCCCGACTCGTTACCACGAGCATGCGCTCCCACAGGTCCCAGGTCCACTGGAGCTATGACATATAAGGCTTTAGGCCTTCCTAACCCAAAAGACTAGCCTGATGCTAGGGGCTTCTTCCGCCTTATATGTTGTGCTCCCTCACCATCGCTACATGATGTGGGACTAAACCCTAACAATTGGGGATTGTTGGGGTTTAGTCCCACATCATGTAGCGATGGTGGGGGAGCACAACATATAAGGCGGGAGAACCATCACCTATCAGGCTAGTCTTTTGGGTTGGAAAGGCCCAAATACCTTATATGTTGTAGCTCCGGTGGACCTAGGACCTGTGGGAGCGTAGGCTCGTGGTAAAGAGCCAGGCCAGCTGTAAGCTAGCTCCAAGATCATGAACTCGGTGGTCACCACTGGTTCCAACAATTGGTATCGAGCCCATGGTAAAAAAAAAGCTAAACCCGATAAAAAATCTTGAGGGTCACATATGGCGGGGGCACCCCGATGTGTGACTAAGGGGGAGATTATTGGGGTTTAGTCCCACATTGTGTAGCGATGGTGGGGGAGCATAACATATAAGGCGGAAGAAACCCCCACCTATCAGGCTAGTCTTTTCGGTTGAGTAAGGCCCAAGGCCTTATATGTTGTAGCTCCTGTGGACCTTAGACTGTTGGAGCGCAGCTCTCGTGGTAACAAGCCGAGCCGGCCGTAAGCCAGCTCCAAGATCGTGAACTCGGTGGTCACCACCGGTTCCAACAGAAGTCCCCGAGCGGGCGGTAGCAGCCTTGAAGAACGGGTGGCGGACGAGCTTCTCCACCGACGGCCGCTTGGCCGGCTCTCGGCAGGAGGCACGCGGACACCATGTCCTTGAACACCCTAGAGAACTTGTTGCTCTTGCTACTCACGACGGAGGTCTCCTCGAGGCGGACGCTACCGGTGGTCCTCATCAAGATCGACTTGGACGGTGGCAGTGCGAGAGAGCGGCGGCGGCGTGCCGAGCTCCAGCGCCGTGATGCCGAACGACCAGATGTCGGCCTTGATGCCGCATGCCGACGGTGAGTGGATCACCTCGGGGCCATCTAGTACGGCGTGCCCGCCACGTCGTTGAAGTAGCACGACGCCGACGAGCCGAGCCCAGCGCCGCCGCCATTGCCGCCGACGCCGACGCGCGTGCATGGTCTCATAGATGGATGCCGATACGCGAAGTCGGCGAGCTTGACGGCGCCGTCCGAGTCCACAAGGATGTTGACCGCCTTGATGTCGCGGTGGATGCGGCCCCGCCTGTGGAGGTAGCACGCAAGCGCGGAGCGCCTCTCCGCGAAAGCACGACGGCCACGCAGCTCGGGCAGTCAGCCGGGAACCCGTGGCGCGAGATGGAGTGCAACGAGCCAGCGCCCATGAAGGGCATCACCACCCACAGGTGGCTCCCCACGGTGAAGGAGCAGCAGCGCGAGCACGTTGCGGTGGGATAGCGCGCCATGGCCTTTGCCTCCCGCTGCACGCAGCCGAGGTCGATCTTGCGACCGCTCTAGGTCGATCGCCTTGATGGCCACCACCGCCGACGAGCCCCAAGGGCAGCAGCACACGGCCATGTACACCACCATGCTCACGCCGCTCCCGATCTTGCACAAAGCAGGCGGTATGACTCCGCGTTCAGCGGGTACCTCGCTTCGTCGCTGCCACCACTAGAAGCAGTGTTGGCGGTGCATATAGCTGATGATTTGCAAGCGGCGGCGCGAGCAAACAGGCCAGATGCACGTAGCATTTGTCGATCCGTAATGTGATGTGGTAGTGGTACATCACAAAGTGAGACGATAATATATATACATACTCACCCGTCCCACATTTTCACTTTTTAAAAGTCACAACTAATCCCAAATTTAACCAAACATATACAATTTATATATACTAATATATATGATGCTAAATAAATATTATTAAATTAATCATGCAATATATTTTTTAATAAATGTATTTAAAACTACACATGATGATACTATTTTTTTCAATCTCATTGGCTAGATCATCGAAAAATAAGATGTGTGACTTTTTTGGAGGCGGAGGAAGCGTATATGTATGAGTATGGTGGGAAAAGCGATCCATGCATATGGTTGGAGTGAACATTACATTTGCATTGGTTATCCCTCATGTTGATGCGTGAGATGTAATTAACGTGGTCTCAGAGCGGAATAATTAGGGACTTGCTATATTTCAGGTGTCTAAAATATGGCTAGTTTCAGGTGACACGACGATCTGCACCTGTTTTCGTACTAAAGCACTCAACTCAAAGCATGGATCTTGAAGAACGATAGATGGACCACACGTCGCCTGAACAAAACAACAAATTCAGGCGAAACATGGAATAATTAAGGTGCATGTGAAGATAGGGGGAAAGACAAAAGGAAAAAGAAAAGAAGAGGGTGGCCAGTGGCCAGTGGCCACAACTTTGGCTGGTAGTGTGTTGTTGTCACAACCGGAAGGAGCAGGGTTTCTCACGAAGCTATTCAGTACAGTCTGCTTTTGGGTAGATGTTCTTTTCTGATCGTGTGACGACGGAGGGGCGTGCACCAATGATCACCATCAACAGGCAACGAAGGGTGGTTGGGTTTGAAGATCACATTAAACCTAGCAAAGGATCACACCCCCGTTCCTTATTTGTAGGAAGTTTTGTGTATACTACTATATGCTGGAATTTATATATATTTGACGAATTGACAAAGACAAGATCGATGAGACAAATCATCTCTACTTTAGGCGATAAACTAGTAAGGTGGCCCATGTAAATAATATGGGTATATATCTTTTTCATCAATTAATTTTTTACTCAAAAATATTTTTTAAATAACTTTGTTTATTTTATTGTAATTTCCTCTCTCCATCTACCTCCACTGCATCCATCGGTATGAAGTCTGAACTTACATAGCTATTATTGAATATTGACTAATTCGCTGTTTTAAAGCTATCGTCCTCTCTCTCTCTCTTCTTTTTTTCACTAATATCCCATGGTTGTACAATTTTTTAATGAGGCCAATTAACCTTTAGTTTTCTTTTGAGTTTTGATGAGCTCCGTTCATCAATAAAATTACCGTCCAAGTTCTCTTACAAATTAATATCCTTTGGCCCTCATATATACATTTAAATTTTCGATCATATTATACTTTCTCTTGCGAATTCATACTTATCCTATTTTACCCTAAAACATCACTAGATTCTTTTTTTTTTGCAACGAACATCACTAGATTCATGATGATCTAGCTCATGTCTACTTTGGAACTATTACTAACGTCAATAAGCTGCTGATCTCTCGAGCAGTCGAGCCTTCCACCCATGCAACTCTATCCTAATATCGATCATGCTGTCACCACATTTGTTTCTATTTGACTAACTTCTCACCAAGAACAAATGTGAATGGCTTGCTGCTCGTGACTAGGGGTGGAGCCAAGAAAGAGCAATGAAGAGTGCTATGCAAATGGAGATATGCTTGGGAGGGTGGTGAACCTTTGTTGATGGCATGAGTTCGAGCCGTTACTTAATAAAGTTAGAGGACATTCTTGGGGTTGAAATAGTGCCACAACTCCTAGTGGCGGTCCTAGCTCTATCCCTGCTCGCGACCCTCTCAAGCATGCACATTAGGTAACCAATAGATCAATTGCAAGATTCAAAAGCTGTTATTCATGATGTGATTTAATTAGATATAATCTCAGCAACTGAAATATGTTCCTCTCCTAGGTCACTGCCATGAAAACACTTAGAAAAGGGTCATGACAGTTAGAATTGACACATTTTGTTTGATTGTTTTTGCTTTTATTGACGTAAATGGTGATGCCAAAACTTTCCAACCACGAAAAAGGGGAATGAGCAACTTGGCAACTTAGAGGTTCGGTGATAGGACAAGCTAAGATGGTGAGGCATAGAACACGCCAGGGGAAGGAGTGGTGGGGACCTGAAGTGGTTTGTTTTCCATAGGCATGCCAAAGACATGAATGTCTAGTTTGTATATATCTTGTGCAGGTGTGATCCCCACATAGATGTTCCTTATGTGTTGTTTGTGCATACCATAGCAAAATCTACTTGTGATCATTAATCAAATTCTACAATGCCCTATCTTATCTTTTTCCACATATATTTGTT